GCAAATTTGAGCACATTTGACTTTTGGCAATTTTGCAAAAATGGTCAACTTGGCCAATGCATAACTCTCTCAATTTTGACCCTAGAGAGGTGTTCTTGGACTTTTTAGAAAGATTATCATGTCCTCTAAACAACCCATTTTGTCTCATCTCAATTAAGTATTCCATGTTCATGTATGAAGATTTGACCCAAAAGGTGTTTTTATTGACTTTTCAAAAGGACTTATAATGTCAAAATTTATATCTTTTTGTGGGTGCATATTCTGAACTTGGGAGATGAATATGAATTGTAGGGAATTGGTTTCTCTTAAAATGAGCTTTGTATGGGTCATTTATTATAAAGTATGAGAAAGTTGTGCTTGGTCAAAGTTGAGTTGACTTTTCCTGCAAAACCCTAATTTAGCAACTTTTAGGTTTTGATGAATTGTGAGCAATCCTTGAGGAATCATGATAAACCCTTGATCAAATGATGAATAATACTTCAAAATGAGGATGTTGACAAAAAATCTTGAATTTTGACTGTATGTGGGCCACAGTTGACTTTTAACCTAGCATAGTTGATTTTCAGGCATTTGAGCAATTGACTGAGCAAACTTCTTCTGCAAGGCTTGAAACTTGAGATGGATGATCTTGAGAAAATATTACGACAATGGTGAGCATTTGAGTCCTTTGTGGTTCACACATCTTGATGAAGATGGAAACCCTGATTTGAGGTATACTTCCTTAGGAGAGAGCTTGTCTGGTCAACTCTTGAACTTCCTTGAGCAATTTGGGGACCTCACTTGCCATGTATTGAGAAATATGGGAGGGAAAATTTTGGGATACAACAGCCGCCCTTTCGGGTTTTCAGCCTACCGAGACGCTTTTTTTTCCTAAGCCGCCCTTTGAGGTTTTTAACATAGCGAGTTTTTCTTTTATTTCTTGATTGCGTCAGCATTCATGGGATGTGGGTACTCCTCGTCATCCATAGTTTCAAGAATCAATGCACCGCTAGAGAAGGCTTTCTTGACAACATATGGGGCCTTCATAATTGGGAGTCCACTTTCCCTAGAATCAGTGCTAAAAGACATGATCTTTCTGAGTACGAGGTCGCCTTCTATGAATTCACGAGGTTTGACTTTCTTATCAAAAGATTTCTTCATTCTCTTCTCTTCAATTAAATTCAATTGGTCAAACCTGTTCGAGACCCATTCAGCCTCTGACAACTTGGTTTCCATTATTACACACAAAGAGGGAATCGCAACCTCAATGGGGGAGCATTGCTTCCATATCATATACAAGAAAGAACGGGGTTTCCCCTGTTGAAGTGCGGACGAATGTACGATACCCATGTAAAGTAAAAGGGAGCATCTCATGCCAATCTTTATAGGTAACAACCATCTTCTGAATGATCTTCTTAATATTTTTATTAGCCATTTTAACAACCCCATTCATCTTTGGCTTGTAAGAAGATGAATTATGATGGACAATCTTGAATTCTTCACAAAGTTATATCATCATATTGTTATTCATATTTGAATCGTTGTTAGTGATAATCTTGCTTGGCACACCATACCGACATATAAGATTGTTCTTGATAAATCGTACTACCATCTGCTTGGTGACGTTAGCATAAGAATTTTCTTCCACCCATTTGGGGAAGTATTCAATTGCCACCAAGATGAAATGATGTTTATTTGACGCATTGGGTTTAATCATTCCAATCATGTAAATACCCCACATAGAGAAAAGCCACGAGGAAGAAATAACATTGAGAAGCGTCGGGGGAACATGAATTTTGTCAGCATAAATCTGGCACTTATGGCACTTCTTTGCGAACTTGTAGCAGTAAGATTCCATTGTCAGCCAATAGTAACCTGCCTTAAGCATCTTTTTGCCATTGAATGTCTATTGGCATGAGTACCAAAGGAACCTTCATGAATATCATGCATCAATATGTCTACTTCGTGTCTATCCACGTATATGAGCAAGACCATGTCGTGATTTCTTTTGTATAGACATCTTCATTGACGAAAAAGATACCTGCCAACCTTCTCAATGTCTTTCTATCTTTATTTGACACACCTAGTGGGTATTCTTTGTTAGAACATAATTTGGTTCTACATCCCTGTAAGAGTTTTGATGATAACAAACACATGATATATATATATATAT